ATGCATTCTGTGGTGCATTTGCCATTCCACTGATGCATTCTGTATTTGTGTCGGGTTACGTTTAAAAGACTGTGACCAAATCACACAGAATGCATCCCATCGCATCATATCTTAGAAGCTAAGGAGTATTGAGCCTGTGCAGTGCTTGGATGGGTGTTCCCACCATTCGCAACCTGGAGCTACATGGCGGGCAATGCAACAAATTACATTGTTGTACTGTACTTCTATGCACCAAACTTTATCTTCGCATCCTCAATTCTTCACTGAAGTATGGTCAGATGACCACTATGACTTGAAAGATGTGTGGAGGCCCTGACACAAAGGGCTTTGTGTACATTTATAAAGTCTTGTTATTTTTGCTCAAAGTCATTTCCTCCACCAGTTGAGCACGTGGTAGCGCTTATCTTCTTTCATACAACACTGAGCCAGTGATGGTAATTCCACATTCCTGTAGCGGTGGCAAGTATATCCATAAGACAAACACTATTGACTTCCCTACAAATCGCTTCTCATTTATAAACCCCCTGAGGATTTTTTGTGCCGAGTTAACCCCTGACCAGGATTTGAACTCGCATCCTTCCGATTGTTCAGCCCAAAATGAGCTCGTGAGCGGGTCGATCTCTAGCCGAGTTAAATGAGTGTTTGGTTTGCGCGTGTTGGGGAATGGTAACGTAATAGCTCGCGCACGGTACTCTTACTATGCCAGAAATATGCTTATATTTGTCATTCTGCAACCCAGTGCCACTTCAAATTAACATCGGAGTATGCTCACCTGTGTGTCCCCCCTCTAAAAAGGTGCATATCATGTTTAATGTAACTAATACTTCCTTTTATGTGCATAACAATTGACCGTTGATGAAATGTCGTGCTACATTACATTAACGCTCTTCAACGTAAAACAATTGCATTCCATACACACACGTGTTACTCAAAAGTGCTGTTTTAGAAGGAAGTGAATACTTTGTCGACCTACATTGGGGCACCTCCTTCACCAGCCTGCGCTGGTCAACTTGGTTATGAAGTACGGTCAAACAACCTGCGTGACCAACACGGCATTGGGCGGCCTTCATCCAGCAGCGGATTGACAAAAGGCTGTGAATGGCATGTCTTTGCGTTGAACGTGCGCCCAAGGCAAAATACACAGCAGGTCCTGTGCTAAAAATATATCAAGCATTTGTGAGTGTGGCCGAGTTTTTCGCAGAGCAAACGCCCATGTCATGTCAGGGTACTGATGCAAAACCACTCGAGACCTGGGTTTGCCCCCCTTCAGTAAAAAGTTAGATGATCTCATTATGGGCTCCAGAGTGGAACAAACACTTGACTCTGCAGCTAAAAGGGCACTCGCTCTCATTCCTCTAGGGCAGATAAGAAAAATGTACTGGGTATGACGCTGGGTCCGCATTTATTGTCTCGTGTGGCCTCATTACAGGGCTAGCTACCCCCAGCCAGAATGTATCACTGATGCTGGTAAATAACAAAATATTTCAATAATTTACTGCTGCTCAGTGCAGTGGGGCCCATGGACTGGTTCAGATATCACTCGCCACTGATGTCAGTCGTGGCTAGGAATCAAACTCCGGTTGCTGTTTTCTTTGTGCAGTGCAGTAACCGCTGAGCCATCTCTTCCACCCAGCTGCTGTTCGTTTTGGAATACGATTACATGAAGTGTGGCCGTCCAACAGCCACCTGGAGCGCATTCACAGAAATGTTAAAAAAGGAAGGTGTCGCTCATGTACTGAATACCCAACCAGCCAAAGAGATTGCATGACGTCACAGAGGTGTTGAGTGAAGCCGTGTAGTGTTGAGGGAAGCCGTATCGTGTTGAGGGAAGCCGTATAGTGTTGACTAAAGGCTATGCAGCATCAAAACCAGCGTCAAGCCGGGAGCATAGGTGCCGTTTTCCATTGGGAGAGCATGCAAACATTTAAAAATATAACATTACGGATTTGCCCCTCCCCATATTTTTAAAGTGAATTTGCTTCACTGACCTCGCTATCATGATCGAGAAGTGATGTTGGCCTGAAGCTGACAGTTTCAACGCTACTCTGTCTAACATGCATGAGTTGGTTTAGCACGTAGGCTTTTGCGACCAATATCCATAACAGAGGTTTTTTCGGTTAGAACCCGTAAATATATAAATGTGTCATTAAAACCCGCCACCACCCGACACAGCCACAAATCTGGCTGTCGCCTGATGAAGCTAGTTGTAATTTCTGGTGAAATGTCGTACTCAGTTTGTAAATGTTGTGGCTTGGCTCTCCAACACACCGGTGTGCTGTACTAGTGACGAATTGGCATGTTCTGTTTACGTGACAACCCTTACTAGTTGGCTGTGTCGGGTGGTGGCGGGTTTTAACAACACATTTATATATTTACGCGATCTAACCCAAAAAACCTCTTATGGATGCATGAGTTGACGCATACGAAGATGGCAAATAAAAGAAACTCGTCTGTGTGAAATATTTTTCAGACAAACTAATCACATTGTCACACACCATCACACAGCAGGTTAATTTTTACGCACACTTCAAGCAGCACAAACTAATAATTTTTAACAGTATGAGGCTGACAGGCATGATACATAACTTTAATTAATGTGGGTTTTTTCTCCCTTTGTTCATATGACGTGCCTAGGAGATTGTGGTAAAAAATGTATTAACTTGAGGAGCTTTGGGTGTTACTCCCTTCTTTATGTGGTGGGTTTTCTTCAGGTACTATTCATAATGGCTAAACGTTCAAATGCAAGTCCCCTCTGGAAAAGAGTTGACCCCCAGTGTGGCTTGCTCGTATTTTTTGGAAGTAGTATTCGCAAGGACTGAACAAATTTCCCTGTAAATCAGCTTCAGTTGTAAACCCAGGTGTTGAGAAGGGTACCCTCAGAGACACCATATTTCAAGAAACTGTAAGTAGTATCTTTATTATTTTTACACTTGTGTTTACCCATTGTCAGCCTGTAATTTAAAATGTTCCAGATGCTGTTGTGGTGTAACAGTTAGCACCATGGATTCCAATCCATAAGTCGATCTCCAGACATGGCAGTTGATACAATGGGCAAGTTCCTTACATCCATCCCTATTCCCTTACTCGCCTTTACCACCTAAAGAGATAAATGAGTAGACCACAGTTTGTTCATCGGCAGGTCACATGTGGTGGAGTAAAATGTGGGCTTTCCTCCTCTTTCAAAATATCTGGCCAGTGGGGAAGAGCTCCCTCCAGAAGAAATAGGAATATAGGTTGTGAATAAGTCATTTTGTGGATCTTAGATATTGTGAAGAAGGCATTGTGGATAAAAGGCTTTCTACTGCATCACAGTGGTATTTATGGAGCAGTGTTGGTGCAGTAATATTTGCACTGCGTTAAAAAAACCTTAGTTCAATTCCTAGCCGTGGCTCAGCATTGGTGCTGAGTCATATCGGAACCGGTCGAGGACCCCCCCCCTCCTCCCTTCGCCAAGTCGAGCTGATGGGCGCGATGATGTGCTGTCAAAACCCATGTAACCGATACGGAATGGAGAGGACGTCGTCCAGCAGATGACAGCTTTTTGTACAAAAGGGCTGTGAAATAAATACAGGGTTACCTCGCTCAATGCGTGTACAGTTTGCGTGATTTCGTGTATTTGCGGCTAACCTATTTCTACTCAAAATTCTATATATGCGGCTTTAATTCACTCATGCGGCTATGCGGTCAGACGTGGTACAACAGTGTGTGTACTCTATGCTCTACTTGGCAGGGAGCCGTGTCGTGCGTTTTGCTTTGTGTGCCCGTTTGTTTCCCTTGCATAACACGAGGGAAACCTGTATCTGTGCAGACACATGCCAGGATTTGAGTGGCAATTTTCACGAGAGACTTTGTTCTGTTCACTGCACGCAATGTCCCACCTTTGCTTAATGCGTGTCACCGCAGATGACACATACCAAACAAATGGTGCTTACGGCCTAAGGGGGGACCCGCATAAAGAGGCATTGTTTTGTGCAAGCACTCTTCCGTGCATTGGTGGCTGCACATGTGACTCTGGGGTCAGAGCACTGAGCCTGTACCACTGAGATCATGGGTATGAAGCCAGGCCCAGATACCTGTGATTAAACTTGGTTCCCAAGTGTTGTCAGGTGATGTTCTTGCTGCACTTTTTTGTATTTGGCTCAATTCCATCGTTGAGTTGCAACATTTTTAGCTGGATTGGCATGTGACAAACACAAACAGTCGTTAAAGCCCATTAAAAGGCGCGTCCCTTTTGTGGATTTTGAGGTGAGCCCAGAGGTATTCCTGTTTGTTGTCTTATGAAGACGTCTGACAATGATTCACTGCTTGTTGTAGCAATTGCTTTGTTGCAGCAATCCGAATTGAAATGTGTCGATCTCAAGACATGATGCCACCACCACGATTGGAATGACACGTTACTATTAATAATTTCCAAAATATGGGTGAGAGGGGCGGGCAACTATGTTGCTGTAATTACCGGCTTGCTTTTGTTCGAGTTCTATTGAGAGACTTACCCAGGCACGGCCACAAGTACACACTGGGAAGCTGCGTTTTAAGAACTGACACTTCCCCTTTCGTCCACTGCTACAATGTGATTCATGGCAGTTAGTAAATGTCCACAGCAGTCTTGCTTTTAGTCACGGTAGGATGCCACTAGTTGTGAAAGGTAATACTGTACTGTGGTGTTTGCGGGTGCATGGGTGATAGATAAAAAAAACAGCTTTTGTTTGTAATGGGAGTACGAGTGTCAATTTATGGTTGGTACCAACGGCAACGACCTGTGAGTGCTACAAACAACACAGGTGGCGATGAACGATTTCTGAGCTCTGTGTTCGCCAAACAACCCACATGATCAACATGAGGAAAAAGCCTTTCATCTGTCAATTGATATATTTGTAGCTCTACATTGTGATGAATGTTATTTCTTTATTATTGCGGCACTATGCTTGCAGTAGATTATTGTAAAAAGACACAAGACGCTGATTGCTTGCAGATAATAGAAGAACTCGACAAACTAAAAAAAATGTCACTCAGCCATGCAAGTTGTATTTCAATAACGCACGAGGAGACATTGTCAGCACCATCCTTCACAATGACATCGATCGGACTAAGACAGACACAAATATAGGTTTGAACCGCTTGCTGAATTGTCGTTAATGAAATAAAATGCGAAAAAAACATTGTATAATCATTATTATTGTATTTCAGTAGCTACATTATTGGCAAATAATGTAAATTGTACGTTAGTCAAATCTTTCAGTGCAATATATGCTATGCCTCGTAATTATGATAACACTGTAACAATTTTTAAAAAAAAATTCCTGGGTAGTAAGTGTTATTTTGTAATTGCTTATGCCTCAAAAGTAGATAAGATGGCTATTATTCCCCACAAACTTTGCTTTTGTGACCAGGACATTGATATTTTGAAATTTACCTATTTTCCAGAACATTCCAGATAGATACATTCTATAACTTTCCAGTAATATAAATAGTAGTATAAATACGGGGGCCTTAAGCCCACCAGTTCAGTTTAGTTCCAGCTGCCTAAGTGGATACAAATCTGCATTTTTCTGAGATGTCATCAAGAGGCTGCAAGCATCCGGCAGACGCATTTTGCTATGTCCGCGGCAATTTATCAAGAAAAGAGCGAAAAAGCATTCTGTGGAAGCATCTGCTAAGATGTGTGAGGCCTAAAAGGTATATTTTGGCATGCCTGTCGGGGATCAAGACAAATCCTGGGCACTTCATTTCACCTGCGAGCAATGCTAAAAAACTCTGGAAGGTAAGATGGACAATTGTTGCTCGGAATTTTATGTTATACATTTTTTAAAATTTAAAATTGAAAAAGTTTAGAATTTCTAAATGTTTTACAATTTTCAATGTTATTGAAAAAATATCATATATGAAAAATGCTGCGAGAATCTCTTACACATTAGTCATGGGTGAAATAAATGTATTTTTGTAGGATGGTACAGAGGGGAAAAGTGAACCATGAAGTTTGCTATCCCAACAATTTGGCAGGAACCCACTGACCACTCAAGCAACTGCTACTTCTGCATGGTGGACCCTTCCAAACGTTGGACTGGCAATAATTTACCTGCTATCACGTATCCGGACCTTCCTTCATCCATCGCCCCAGTGCTACACTGCCATGAGCTCCCCCTTACCCACTCCTCCAGAGAGAGAGCAGCCGTCTTTAGAAGAGAGCAGCAAGTCAGAGAGCGAGGAAGACATTGTAGATCCAGGCGACAATTTCAGAGGTGGAGTTGAGGAGAGAAACCCATACTACCCCAACCAAAAAGACCTCAACGACTTGATCAGAGATCTTGGTCTCACCAAGTCCATTGCTGAGCTTTTGACGTCTAGGCTCAAGCAGTGGAACTTGTTGGATGAAAGTGTGCAAGTCGCAGATAAGAAGAAGCGTCACCAACCTTTTTTCAGCTTCTTCACTCGTCAAGATTGGCTCTGCTTCTGCCACAATGTGACCAGTCTGTTCGAGGCAATCGGAATCGCCTGTAACCAGAATGAGTGGCGCCTCTTCATTGACAGCTCATCCATGAGCCTCAAAGCCGTGCTGCTCCATAATGGTAACAAGTACCCGTCTCTTCCCCTGGCTCACTCGGTGCACCTCAGAGGATTACAATAGCATCATGACCTTGCTGGACGCCTTTAAGTATGATGAGTACGGCTGCGATGTCATCGGAGACTTCAAAATGGTGGCATTCCTGATGGATCTCCAAGGCGTTTTTACTAAGTTTCCCTGCTATCTTTGCCTTTGTAACGGCAGGAGCACCAAGGTGCACTAACACAGGCAGGACTGGCATTAGCGGACCGAGTTCTTTGTGGGGAGGAACAACGTCAATTGGGAGCCACTGGTGGACCCCCGGAAGGTGTTGATGCCACCACTGCACATCAAATTGGACCATATGAAACAATTTGTCAGAGCTGTAGATAAGGAGTCTGCAGCCTTCAAGTACTTTCAAGACTTCTTCGCTAAGCTGTCTTGAGGCAAAGGTCAAAGTGGGTGTCTTCGTCGGACCACAGATAAAGAAGATCCTGGAGTGCAATGAATTCCCCAAGAAGCTCACTAGTAAGGAGAAAGCAGCTTGGAACAGCTTTATCCCAGTGGTTTGTGGCTTCCTGGGCATTCACAAGGTCGAAAACTATGTGGAGCTGGTTGAGGCTCTGGTGAAGAACTACGGCACAATGGGCTGTAGGATGTTCTTCAAAGTCAATATCCTTGATGCTCATCTTGATAAATTCATGGAGAACATGGGAGCGTACTCGGAGGAGCAAGGCGCGAGCGCTTCCACCAGGATATACTGGACTTTGAACGCCGCTACCAAGGACAGTATAACGAGAACATGATGGGAGACTTCATTTGGGGGCTGATTTACAGGAAATTGTAAATCTCGAAAAACTACTCCCTTCTAAATATTTTGTAGTCATTTTTGTATTACTTTAGTATAAATACATGTTTATTTTAATTAATGTTTTTTCTGACTTTATGTGAACGAAAAGACACAAATTCGCCCTTTTTCTCATAGAAAATAGGTAATTTTCAAAATATCACTGTCCTGGTCACAAAAGCAAAGTTTGTTGGGAATAATATCCATTTTCTATACTTTATAGGCATGAGCAATTACAAAATAACACTTACTACCCAGGAACAAAAATTGTGTTACATCGTGTAATGTGACAAATGTTTTGAGGTTACAAAGGTATATAGACGATACAAGTGCTTTCAACTTCACAAATACGTATGTAAAATAATTTTCTGAAAACAAAATCACAGGACATGATATATACTTACATGGTATGGAGGTGATTAGGTTTTTTTTCATTTGTTAAGCCTAAGTATTAAATGTATCACTTCCAAGAAACACATTCTTTATTCCATACGTACTCCAGTATATCATTTAGGCAGCAAATACACTTTCATATCTATAACTAGCCATCGTCAATGCCTTATTTTTTCCCCAGCGTGTATAATCAAAGCATAAAGTAATGAAATAGAATGCGTATACTTTTATCAGTTTTTAGTTAGATTTTTCACATCAGAACGCTTTTTGTCAGTATCATGATTTTTCAGCAGCAGAAGTTGTGGGATGCATTTACCGACCGAACCTTGTCAGGGGGAAAAAAAGCCCCATTAGGGCTTTGTAAGGAACATTTACCCAGTAGTACCCCAGAGGGTTGCAAAATCAACAAACTCCTGAAGTTGCGATTAGATCCGTTCTCAACCCCCCTTACCTTTGAATGCTAAATGCAACATGCATTATAGAGTACATGTACTGTATTACCAGCATGTATGTGTCTGTGTATACGTAATTTTCTATAGTTGTTGAAAATCATTTATGGAAATTGTTAAAAAGTAACATTTTTTTTCCCATGAACCAAGTATTTGTAAAGTAAAATGACAAAACAGGCTTCTGGCAAAATATTTACTCTTACTATTTTAAATTAACATACAATATTACATCAATAAATCTGCTGCCAGGAGCCCTTACCATTCTGTTGACCGGGCTAAAGAACTTCGGCTCTATTCCTCTCCAACGCGTGTCCGCTCCACCGCTTCCACGGACAGCAGTGCAGTGCGCTCAGCGTATTGTCTAATTTTGAGCTGAAATTAATTCGAAGGCAGCGATATATAATTGGGGTGACACAGCTGGATGAGTAGGCCATGAGCAGGGCCAGTCCTCTGAGCGTCCTGTGCAGGCCGGGCCGCGTCGACAGCCACTCCGCCGTCTCTTTGTCGTCGTGTGCGGTGATGAGGTAGAAGAGCAGCAGCACATAGTAGAGTGTCCAGAGCGAGAAGTGAGCCACCACGGTTAGACGCACGAGGCGGAACGTCGCTGCCTCGGCCGCCTCCTCCTCGTCCTCCTCCAGCGAGCGGTTGTGCGGGCCAGGCGGCCGCTCGGGACGCAGGGGCCGGCGGTGAATGCGGCACGCGAGCATGAAGCTCACGGCCACTCCAAGCAGCGGCACGAGGAAGCCGGCGAAAAAGTCAACGGCGTCCACCAGCCGGCGAATCTGCAGCCGCTGGCAGTCGAGCATCTGGTCACCGTTGTTGGCGTTGTCGTAGGCACTGCCGCCGCCACCGTCCTCCGAGTCGGTGGGTTCAGCCCGGCAGGCGAAGAGCAGGAAGGCCGGAAAGACGGCGAGGAGTGCGCCACCCCACACGAAGCTGCAGAGGTGGCGCGCGTTGTGTGCGCTCACCATGGGGTTCCGGGGCAGCGCCGCCGCCAGGCTCGCGTCCAGGCTGAGCAGTGCCAGGGAGTAGGCGCCGGCCAGCGCGCTTATGCTGAAGATCACGAAGAGGGTCAGGCAGGTGGGCAGCTGTGTTTGGACCGACGGAAGCTCCGAGCCTTCGCCCAAGCCCTGTCGGTGCCAGAGCAGCTCCGTGCCAAGCATCTGCCCAACGGCGACCAGCAGCTGCAGCAGGTTGGCCAGTGCCAGGCTCACGAAGTAAATGTCGAGCGCTGCCATGGAGGCGCGGTGGTGGAGGTTCACGAAGACCAGGCTGAGGTTGTAGAAGAGGCCCAGGGGAAGGAATGCCACGAGAAAGGTGATGGTGAACACAGGAAGGGAGTAGTTGTAGGCCTGGCACAGGCCCTCCGGGGTTGCGTGGGACTGTTGGGGCTGCAGCTGCAGGCCGAACTCAGAGCCTGAGCATGCGTTGAGGGGCTGGAAGACAGGCTCCCGGGAGCAGCTCCACATGGCGCTTCGCACCGGCCTGCTCGGCTTAACATTCCACGCCGCGAGGTCAGGGGTGGCTCGGAGCGTGCGTGCAGGATTACCGCCGAGCCCAAGCGGCCCTCACATGTTGCTCGTTTGAGACTCTCGCCCTGTTCAAGAAACACACAGGAGTGGCGTTATTTGTGTAATGTGGTTCTTTGTTCCAGCACAGAGGTGAAAAAAAAGAGGTAAAAAATCTGGAACTTATCAGAGTTTATTTTTAGGCATTCAAAACCAGTAGTCGGCTTATAAAATATCTCCTGCTTAATAAGGGACATTGGCTGCTGTGGAGTCAAATTATTTAAAACCTGTGAATAATGACCACAAAGCCATAAAACTGGCATGCAACACCTGATTGTGGTTTTGTTTAAATGCCTTGTAAAAGCCACTTACAACATAATAATGGGTTGAATATTGTTAAAATTCAAAGACTACAGATTGTTTTGAATATTTAAATCGCATGCAAACAAAAAAACATTGCTTCCTACACATGCAACTTTAATACTCCCGAATTAATAGGAATCGATCAATTGCTGCATTCTTTGACCCCTAATCATGCTGGTAAAACGGTACTGTATTACCCCTTCCCAAGTGGGTTATAACTTGGAGATGTGCAGGTGCTAATTTTCAGCATTAGCAATGCACAGGGAAATATTGATTCTATTCTGGAATAGATTAATATTATATCTTGAATTAAAGCTTTCGTGACTGCAGGAATTCATATTCTTTGGGTCTTTCGGTAAAGCCACGTAGATAGAAAAAATAAGAAAAATAATAACACTATCACGACGTTTCGATCGCAACACAAGCAATCGTCATCACCTGATGAAAAAGCCATAAGATAATTCTCTCGTACGCTGCTGCGTTTGCCTGCCACGCGAAATTTAAAATATTTTACAATTTTGTCGTATCGCTATCGTAAGATCGAAATATTGTAAGTCGGACCATCGTAATTCGGGGACTATCTGTAAATGGGTATACCATAGCTCGTCAATTGGTGGGTGGAGTATGGGTACTCCCATCTATTCGAAGATTTCTGGCCAGCGTGGAAGTGTAGTCCATAATACCCACAAGTGGCTCTCTATAACTAGATAGTGGAGGTCATTCTTCCAACACGAGTGTTAGCGACCGATTGCAAAGGCTCTGCCTTTACCTACTTCTCCAAAGTAGAATTATCTTATGGCTTTGTCATGCAACCTTCTTAATATTAGGCGCCTGCTCCCAAGCTCCATACTGTCCCTTCATGCTGAGCTGTCCGAGCTTGAAACATGGTAGTAACCACCCTGGTAAGAGTAGCGCTCGTAAAACAATTATGAAAATAAATCAGAAAAATTGCGTCGACTGAAGTTCAGAACACACATTCACGTTGTACTCTAGGGCCATGTTCCAATGTGCGTTGAGTGTGACAACAAGGACCGTGGCATCGGTCCCATCCGATTCGAGAGATGTTTGTTCGTATTCCTTTTGTTAGCCATCAAAGTACATGGAAACAATGCCTGGTTTATGATTAAAAACGTCGACAGGATGGTAATGTAAAATTGCAGTGAAATTGTATTTTAAGCCCTTCTGGTTAGTTTTTATTCCAGAAATCCTTTGTATTACCTATGCATGCATACATACTGGACAGTACGTGTGTTCGTGTACTTGCAAAAGGTCTTTCTCCAAGCTAGCACAAGTCCACTGTCATGTGAACCATATCCATTAGTTAATGAATCATAAATGTCAGTGTGGTGTAATGTTGAAATGTTTTCATGTTGAGCACCTAACGGCTTTGTATTCATTGATGTAGTCTGTCAACGCCATGACTTCCCATATATAGGTCTTTATTCTCTGGACGTCGGGGTTCAGTCAACCTACAGTTTTTCATTGTCTTCTAAATCCTCTGAAGATCACTCGGGTTCCATTCGAAGCATGTTTATAAATATTTTATAATTACTGTAGTGATATGCACAGATGCATACAGGCATATATTTTGAAACGTTTACGTAGAAGAGTCAAAACAAAGCGTTCTTCATGCTGAAGCAAATGTAGGGGTGGTGCTAATCTCTTTCAGCAGTCCTCGGTTGATGCTGGAAATTCTACATTACTCTGACAGGGGCTATTCTTTTCATTGGAAAACTGCTGTTTAACTTTCACAAAATGGTACCTATTTTATATGATGGGCTGAGTTGACTCCTGACCGAGATTTGACATCGCACCCTTTCCTATTGAGTTAAGTGTTCTTACCCAGTAACCACAGTGCAGAGTCCCTGAATGTTACCAACGTGTAATGGTCCACGATTTATAATTATGCGAGAGCTCGGAATTGATGCATTCTATTTAATGCGTTGTGTTTGATGCATTGTAATAGTGCATTTATAATTGCAATTTGCCACCATTAATACACTCGATACAGAAGGCCTCGCCACGCAGTATCTATCAGTCACGGGGGTTGTTTGACCAAATTTCACCACACTGATCTGTGTGGGTTTGGCAAAGCGGTGGGCCCAGGACCAACTCGGACATCACCTTTCAATTTAATCGAACCGAAAGCTGCTGGGTTCTTATCGCAGTGCAGTGATTGCGCTATCCGCCGTGCCACCATTCCGCTCCAGCAATACAGTAAAATACTGTAGATAATTTTCACTATAGATCACAGAGAAAACATACGTATTTCAAAAGAACACTATTCAGGCTAGACCCAAAAGTTAGCACTATCGTTTTATTTATGTTTTTCTCATGAAGACTTGACTGTTGACTAAACTTTCCAATTGTGAAAGCACCCAGAATCCATCCACGGGGAAAGTAAAGTCTGCCAGCTCTTAAAGGCACATTTTTGCCAATCTCAAAACCCGGGGTGGTTAATAAATACCTAAAGTATTGATTGCCACATTGCTTTTTAGCTGAAATTATCTACAATGTTTAAAATAAAGGCGTGGATGCAATAAACTTTTAAACAAAACCTTATTTTTTTAAGTCGCTAGAAACTTGTACAATGTTCACTTTAAAGTCTCTCAACAAAACGAATAGTGGTAAACGCGTATTTCAAGTTTCTGAAACTTGTCCGTGGCCATCTGCTGACAAACATGACCTTGGTTTAGAAGGAATTAGTGGATGAAGCTTTACACGTTGGTAACATTCCATGTTATTGATGTTTCACTGCCTGATAAGTGTGCCGCATTCAAGGGAGGAAATGTTATTCCATTTTGGAACTGAATGTTCTTTGTTGTTCATAATACCAACACTTTTTTTTGCTGTTTGCCATACAGTATAATACTGACTTTTAACTCAAAGGGATTCATTATTAGCGTGTTCTGTTGTTTCAATGAGGCCAGTGAATTTTTTTTATGGCTATATAGCTTTTTTTAAGAAGCAATTTTACCACAAATGATAGCTCAACGAAGTGGTTTGTCATGTGGACATTTATAGCAGCCAAATACTCTCACGCATGTTTATAAATGTGGAGGGAAAAACCGGAGGACCCGGAGAAAAATCCACGCGACCACAGAGAGACCATGCAAACTCCAAAATTACAGGCGTCACGGTCGGAATTGAACCCACGACCTTGTGCATACCAGGCGAGAGAGTTAACATCTCGCCCAACAAATAAATAATGGACAATACAATTCTACACGTCGCTTAATGCCACTGTGCGCAAATTATGGCAGTTGAAATGTGGGGAAGTTTCCTAACTTCCCTTGTTTCACCATTCCGCAACTCCAATGTCTATCCAGCAGTATAATATACATGGGTACAACACAGGTGTGTCGCACGGGCAGGTCACGCGTGTGTAGCAGGGTAAAGTGTGGGTTCTTCCACCTCGTCCAAGAAAGGTTGGCCAAATTCCCTCTTGAGGGTCTCTCCAGAGCCCTGCCGAGCTAATACTTGTCTTGCCAGCAGTGGCGTGAGCGGGAAATTGCACGGCTGCACCTTTACAGTCTGTATGAAAGCATTACAAAACCTCTGTGCAATGTAGTTTGCACAGAGCCTTAAGCTGATGTGAGATTTTAAGCTTTGCAAACACATTTCAAAACCTCTCGTGAACACATGTCAAAGCCAGTTTGCAGAATAGTTTACTTCCAGCAAACACAACTACTGTCTTGTAACACAAGTACTGCTTAGCAAGTGAAAACAGTTGCCAGATTTTCCACATCGGAGATGCAAATATATTACATAATGTCATTTATCGTCTGTCTTACACCGTAGCTCCATTATCTGCACCCTCCCCCCTGTGGATAAGCGGAGTTAGATTGTGGATAACCCCGTGGATAATAGGAACAGTGATATGGATCACATGACCGCATATAATAGAAGTTCTGTACATTTCCAATATTTCAGGCCGACAACTTCAACATTTTTGAACTCCTGACCCAAATTTAATGCCAGTTGTCATTCCAGTGCCAGTTTTTGACATGTTATGAACATAGCTGAACATTTATGTAATGTTTTGTTCGCCATTGAATTCCAATAATATTCTTTGGTGTTGATTTTGCATGCAGTGTTGCATTGCATGAACAGCTTACATAACATCTCTTGACCCGGTCATTCATAAAAAAAGAACGTTTTTTATTAAAAGCAATTCTTTACACACGGTACGTGCATGCGTGTACAGGAACTGTCATGCATAGCAGACTTTATAGGCTGCTGAGGAGTTACTTTGTGGGCAGCAGAGGGCAGTGCAGGAAAAAAAAAGTTGTTGGATTGTACTTCTACGCTTCCCCATCTGTTCTCCCTGCCTTCAACCCAAACTGACCAGCGTGGTGAAGTATGGTCATATACCACCCACGACCTGCTCGGCATGGGCAGGCCTTCATTTAGCGGTGGATTGATAAAAGTGTTGTCCTATATGTGCAGATATTATCGACCGTTTCGTCAAATGGAAACAGACCAAGGGTGAACAATAATGTTGGTTCTAAAATCGAATCTCCTCCCTGAAAATCCATTGAGTAGCCAGGTGGGTACATCATTGTGGTTACTCTTTGCTGTGTTTGGGGAGCATTTTGTAACCATGATGTGCTAAGCACACTGGGTTCTTTTAATTATTTTTGGGAGAGTGGCCGCCCAGTCAAAGCCACTGGAACCCACTCCAGCCCCCAGAAACACAACGAATGTCACCAAGGCCACAATACAG